TACAGACTTTGTGAAGTCTAAGAGGGATTTGGCTGTGGGTTTTATAGCAAAGGTCTCAGCTGCTGTGGAGGTGGGTGGAAAATGTATAAAGCTCATATGTAAATAAAGGTTTGTGAATAACCACCTCCTGTTGAAATGAAGCAGTGCTGCCAGTCTATCATGTGAAAATGAATTTTTCTGGAAAAGAAGTATTTTAATGCAATAGGCTTCAGTGGAGAAAAAAAAACAGAAGGATAAGAAACGAACTGAGGCTGCATTTGAAGCTTTACATTAAAGTCACTGACAGTCATCTTTCAACTACCATTTATCACTTATAAAGAAAGACTGGTGGAAATAAAATATTGGGTGTGATGTATGATTTATCAAATATCTTCAGCAGCACATTTTAGAAATATGCATGCCCTAGATTTCAGCTAGGAAATGTATGCTCTTAAATAGCATACAGGTCACCATTTGCTCGTCACCTAAATAATTTCCATTTGCCTCCTGGGGCACTTTACAAGATAAAGTGGTAGAATTTTGGATCATTTTTATAATGGTGTTATTGTAGTCTACCAAGAAATCTGATGAACTTTGTGCAAAACTTTAAAAAGCACTTTAAAAGCATTTCAGATTGATAAAGAGATTTAAACATGACAAAGCTCTAGATTGTGTAAGTCCAGTTTTCATTAAATCTGTGGAAATGCATATTTTTGAATAACTTCAAGCACAGCATACTTGTTGCATAATTGATTTGGATTGTTTTGATTTCTTATGTTAGACTTAAATTCTCAATTTAGAGTATGGAAACTATCATACAAAATCTGCATTTGGCACACTATCTCACAGCAGGCAAGCTTTCTATAGATAAGAGACAAGTTTCTATAGATAATTAAGAATAAAATTCTTATAAAACTATTTCTGATCTCTCCTAATTATGATTTCATGTTATGGTATGACTCTGAAGTATTGCTGTCGTGATGCCTACATTGCTGATACTACTTTTAACAGGCTCCATTTTTGCATCTTTGGGTGTTTTAATTGCTTATATAAAATTGTGTAAATTTTCATTCTGTTTCTCAACTCTCAACACAAATGATATCCTGTATCAGTGACCTCTGGGCCTGATTTGTGCATTGAAAATATTAAAATCTGTGCTGCCTTGCTTTCAGTAGCAGTTTGTATTGAATTAACTATCACTTTGTAAAAGATAAGTGCTATCCTTTGCTGTTTCACCAGTTGAGCAATGCTAGGTGTTCTGTTCTGCAGACGAAGACAGGGATGATGATGAAGATTTCCTTTCTATGAAGAGATTGTAAAACGAGGTGGGGAGCTCTAGCATGCAAACTTTCATCCTCCTTGCCCATTTTGATTTTCCTTCTCAATGGCTGATACTTGATTTTTTAAAGAAATCTTTTCAGGAAATTAGCTTTTATAGGAAATGCATTTCATAGAGTGGTCTAAAATCATCACAATATGGGGATCCATTTGCAGGATGGAAGAAGAAGGGTGAGATGAAAGTAAGATATTCCTTTGGCATTTGGCATTTGGCTTTGACAGAATGAGGAGGAACAGAAAAGGACATTTGGATAAGAGGCGTGTTGGAGAGAGAATGAAAAAGAGGTGCTGGTATGACGTCTGCAGGATGGAAAGAATTTTGGTGATGGTTTCTGTCAAAGGAATGAAGTGTAGCTGAACAGTAGTCCAGACAAGAAGTTATCAGTGATGGGGATGGGTTTTGGAAGGGAGAGATGAAATAGGGAGGAACATTTAGGTATCAAAGAAAGATACATAAGAATTATTGATTACATCATGTATTTGATGAGGATACATTGTACAGAGTCTTGTGCTTACATGTATTACAGCCCAAGCAACCAAAACTATGCCTCTCAGTTACCCAGAGCCTGTGTGTCTCTGGCAATGACTGGGATCCAAACTAATCATGCTTGGGTCAACCAATATCTGTGATGTTATAGACAGTTCCAACTTGAAAGGGGAAATCCTTATGAATCATGGTTCTTTCAGCTTAATTGTCTTTACTTATGAAGTAGCATAAAGATATGTTTTCTCAAGGATGAGAAGGATCAAATGAATATGGGTAATTTCACAAGTAAACTTTCAAAATTTCTTTGTGTTTAAAAGTCCATCAAATCTCTCAGCTTTCCTGAGGCTAAACGTCTGTGTCAATTAATTTCTGAGCTCTTTCAATTCTGTACCTGAGCTTTTGCTTATGGATTCTGACATTCATTCTGAAATGATGTTTATCTTCTTTTCAGACTTCCCAAGGGTTTGGATTGGGTCCATGCTATTTTCCAAAAGAACAATGATGATTTTTTGCCTAACATGATGCCTTCTGAATGTGAGATTCTCCAGAGATAAAAATAGTATAGGCATTAGATGGAACTGTGGTTCAGTGTGGCATAGCTTATAAACTGTATATCTTATTTTCTCCTTCTGTAAGCTTTTAAAATGCACATACAAATAAATGGTTTGTTTACGGTTTGCTTTATGTGAAAAGAAAATCAAAGAGTCATCCACTTTTTCTGAAGCCTCCTCCAAAACTCATCTTTTGAATAATTATATGTCTCAGTGCTTTCCAGTTTTAATTTTGCTATGAAATTTCCACTTGATAGTTTGCTGAAATGAAGAGTTGCACGCTTGACAATATTTTTTTGCAGTACAACTTCGTATCTGAATAGTCTTGATTAATTCTTCAGGATATGTTTTGTACGGGCCCTTTGAAAAATCACTAGGATAAAGGAACTGATGGATTACTCCATTTATATACTTCCCCCCATTCTTCTAGAGAAATTAAAGCAGGTTTTACCCAAAGATCATATCATAGCATCATAGAATGGCCTGGGTTGAAAAGACCACAATGATCATCTAGTTTTAACACCCCTGCTATGTGCAGGGTCACCAACCACCAGACCAGGCTGCCAGAGCCACATCCAACCTGGCCTTGAATGCCTCCAGGGATGGGGCATCCACAGCCTCCTTGGGCAACCTGTTCCAGTGTGTCACCACCCTCTGTGTGAAAAACTTCCTCTTAATATCTAACCTAAACCTCCCCTGTCTCACTTTCAAACCATTCCCTTTGTTCTATCACTCTCCACCCTCGTAAATCCCCCTCCTGTTTATATGCTCCCTTCAAGTACAGGACGGCCACAGCAAGCTCATGGAAACCGAAAATGTAGTCAACCCAGTATAGTTAATTAAGAATACAAAGACAAAGGTCTTATGTGAAAAAATCAAAAGTAACAATATAAAATACCTAAGAGCAATCAAATCTTGGAAAACCCATGACATTTTTCTGAGAACTGTCAGAACTGATTAGTTCTGATTAGAAGGAGCTAATCAGTGAGAGTGATGATTAGATGAGGAGAAAGCCTCTAGTCTGAGGAACAACAGAGGATTGCCCAGTATGTTACCATTTACTTTGTCTTGATAAGAAGCTGATCTTCCCTGGTTAGTGCCTCTGCTTCATGTCTATCATTGGAGAGATCTGTGTGGCATAATTGCAAGATGCTGTTGCCAGACATTAGTTGTTGAGTATATTGAATGCCCCTCAATACTGTAGTTTCATAAAGGCCATAGAAGTATATTCATATCAACACTATGTACCTAGAGACTGTAGATATAATCATGAGTTACCACACACTTTTGTGGAAGCTTGTTGGAGATGTAATCTGTGCTATGTAGTATTATACCATTAGAACATAGAAACCCTCCTTTGCTACTATGACCAAATTATTCTTCTATGCATTTTGAAGATAGGACAATTTTTTCAATTGAATCCTAAGATTAGCCAATTAAATTGTTTATTTTTCTATTCACTTGCTAAGTTGCTTTGTTGTTTATCGTCACTGTAAAAAATTTAAGTTCAAGGAAAAAATCAAAGCCAAATGTCTCCTTTTTTCTTTCCTTTCCAAGTAGGTGGGAGAGCCTTGAGATGTTTGCATCCTATTGTTTCTTATCAGCAAAATATTTCTCATAAAAAGAAATATTTCTAGACTGCCTTATTTCTGTCTCAGATATAATTCTGGCTTATGTCTGAATATTTAGACACATTAATAATAAATGCTGTTGATTAGATTCAGTCTTTTGTAGTGTGAATATTATTAATTACATTCTAACTTTAATTGACTTATTTTACACAATCTGTGATCTTCCAGACATGGTAGATTAAATAATTACAAATGAGCACTAGGAGAAAAAGCAATTTTTTTCAGGGCATGTCTGCTTTCATACTTTCTCCTTGAGAATTTTAAGTGCAATTGATTCATTGGATATATAGGCATGGACAAAAGTTTGCATGTTGTATGAACTGTTGAAGTGTTAAAAAGGTATATATTTGAAGTATGAAGTATATGTCCTTGAAATGAAAGCTTTTTGTAGAGAAAATGCTAATGTAGAAAGCCACTGTATGAAGGAAGACTGCTATGCATGTATGAGAGAAAAAGCAAGTGCACAAGCTTATGAGATCTGTCTGCACCCCAGACTACAAAGTAGACTTGGAAACTCAATCTAGTGTGTCTCTGTAGGATTAATTTGCTTCAGGTCTGAGAGATTTGCTTTGGTCTTGCTTTGTAAGTCATTGTAGTTCATTTGGAGATGAAAAAGCACAAAGAAAGATTGAGGTGGATCACCTCCTGGTCATGTCTTCTTCCTGTGGGCTGTGAAGGGAAAGCAGGAAGACTAGCTCAGACTGGGTTGCCCAGTATTTTTATCCTTAAGTTGGGCAGATGGATTCCTTTCCTTCTCAGGTGAATGGATGGAAAATAAAAAAAAAAGTCATGCTCAAATCCCTTTTCTTTATCCCACAGTGAGACAAAGTAATCAGCCACTCCCTCCTCAGGTGTTTTTTCCTCTTTTGAGAGGACAGTGGGGTAAAATAAGGAAAAAAAAAAAAAGGAAAAAAAAGAAAGAAGGAAAGGAAAAAGAATCAACTATAGGAGATTTTATTCTTTCAGTAATAAGGAGATGCTAAAAGGATTCTTTGATTGCTTCTTTTCTTGCAGATCGTTCACAGGACTCTTGCAGCGATGCTAGGCTCTTTGGCAGCTTTGGCTGCATTAGCTGTTATTGGGGAGGTAAGTTATTGAACTGGAAGTACTCAGTTTGTTTCTTTCTATGATATAAAAAATTCCAGAGAGAGTTATGTTGCAGATGGATGCAGTAGTCTTTTTAACGAGAGTGAGATGGTAGGGAAGATATTGGGTTGAAAAAACATCACAGGGAAAACAGAAGAACTTAGGGTATCGACAGAGAGAGGAGAAAAGTCAACTGGTACATTTTGTTCTGATTTATAGGGAGCTGATTACAGATATTTTCAGTTTAATTCAGACTTTAACACTGTTATTTTCAGTAATGTTAATATACCAATCGAGCTGCATTTCTTTAAACTCCCCCCAGCTTGTTCGCAGCTAAAGCTATATGCTTTTATTCTCTAAGGAAAAAGAAAAGTGGGTTGTAAGATATAATTCTGTTATCGTTTATTTCTGCAATGCTATGTAAGGAGCAAATAGATAAATAAACCAAAAACTTAATGTAGACTTTTGATAATGACTCACTTAGGATGTTGCAGTACTTTTAATTAGTTGTAGTAGAAGTAAAAATAGTAATAAAATAATAAGAGATTTTTGGTGTGCCTTAAAGGAGTGCTTATTAATTTCATTCATGGCTTATTTAAATGACTCACTAATTAAATGGAGTTTGTATTTCATAGCTAATCACAAGTTAGCTGCTCCATGGTATTCACTGGTAATTGTATTTTTTGATTGCAGAGGCCGAGTATGGTCAAAGTGGTAGAGTGGATTGATTATGAGACACTGGCACTACTGTTTGGAATGGTAATTAAGATATATCTCTTGCTCTAAATATGTTGAAATTCTCACATTCAATATCTAGATGGATTTGTTCTGATGAAAATTTATTCCTTATGGTGTTTATCAAAAGGATTATGAACAGACCTCTGAAAGGACCTTTGAAAATTTGGATTCAGGTTCTTTTTTTCTTCTGTAAAATTTTGATAACATACCAAAAATATAAATGAGGTTCATAATAGGAAAGACCTGTTTAAGTGCCAAGTATTATCACTTGTCTTACTAATTTTGTTTTCTCAAAACCTTCCCCAAACACACTTAGCTGGAAAAAAAGTCTTCTGTTGCCTTAGTGCTTTGTTTGGAACCAAAAAGAGAAGACTTGAAAAGGAGGACAAATATTTGATCAGATTATAATAATACATTATCTTAATCACTTTTGTCCAGAACTATTTATGGTCAAAAGTGTGGTTTAACTCTAACATGAAATACACAATGTATGCAGACAAAATTGCTGCTATCTGTTGACAATCTGAGCCTTTTTATATTTCCTGACAATACTCCCCACCCTGCTGTCCTGCCCAGAGAAAAAGAAAGCAAAAAAAAACCCCATAAAATCTATTGGTGGCAAAGTTGGATGGACTGGCAAATTCCCAGAATTGTTGGAACGTGCAGAAGTTGGTATCTTCCGTACTTTGTAGTGCATTACTGCTGAAAACTCACAGTTGTTGTCTTACCTTGGTTGATGACATAAGGGAGATACTTTGAGTCTTTCATGTATGATGCCTACTTAGTCATAACAAATAAATTAAACCAGACTAATTTAGAGACTGTTTATATTGAGAACAAAATTTCACTATATGATGATATTTGACGTGTCTGATGGCTGTACTGGATATCCTGATATGATGATGATTAGATTCTCAAAACTTTGTCAAATATGAAAGACATTTTTAGGGACATAAAGTACATCACATTGTTTTTGTGTAATAGTATTTGCAAACTATTATTTTTTTTCTTTATTTTTTGGTAGATGGTTTTAGTGGCCATATTTTCAGAAACTGGATTCTTTGATTACTGTGCAGTAAAGGTAGGTTTGTTTTAGTACTCTTAATTATTATTAAATTAATTGTTAGTATTTAGTAAGATCTTCTGTGATATGACTTGGTATAATAGGAACTTTCTTTGGGCAGTTTACATCTATCGTATTGCAAGTGACAGTGGTCATCTTGTAATTTTGAAAAAATCTCTCAGGAATGAAAGGAAGCCCTTAAGGCAATTCAGGTGTTTTTTTTTTTTTTCTTCTTCTTCTTTTTTTTTTTTTTTTCTGGAGAAAGGCAAAGGCCCCCAGTAGGGTACACAAGTATATAAACAATATAGAGCTGAATTATCCCACTAACTTCCCCAAGACTGTAGTTCCTCTGTAGCTAAAATCTTTATTTATCTCTGGCAGTAGGAGAGAGGAAATATGGGAACAATCAGTTTTACAATCACAGATGATAAATGACCACAGACCTTTGCACAGCAGTAGAACCAAAGAATGCATGAAAAGGGTAATTCTGATGGATTGGCTGTAAAGCAAGTATTACCTATATTAAGGAACTCCTCCACCTGCTGCAAAACTTAATTTTCTTGAGAACTGTGGAAAGAAATAAAACAAAAGCAATAAAAAAGACTGCTTTGAGCAAAGAACACCTAAAGAAAATGTGGGTGGATAGGTGCCCAAGCTGTATTGCCTGTCAGTGCTTCTCTGAGGACAGGAAAGGTATCCCATTGTGTGGAGGTGGTGGGAGGGCTGAACCATACTAATCCACTCAGCCTCAAAGGCAGAAAGTGGGAACTCAGCCCTACTCCTACCACAGACCACCTTTGTGTCTGGCAGTGGAGCATGGGGTCTCTTCACATTTGTTTCTTCCTCTGCTTGGTGGAGATATTTGCTTACTTCTGAGAATTGTCTTACTGCTAAATTAATTAATATTAGAGAGGGCGCTGCTGGAGGTGCATGGAGCTTCTCTGAGCTCACTGTTGTTGTTTCACTGTTGTGAGGTTGTTTATCTGTCATTTTTTCTAAAGTTAGATGGAACATTCCAGCCCTTTGATTTTGATGCTATTTGTTTGTTTTTATTAGGCTTATAGATTCTCTAGAGGCAAGGTGTGGGCCATGATTACGCTTCTGTGCCTTATTGCTGCAATTCTTTCTGCATTTTTGGACAACGTTACCACAATGTTGCTCTTTACTCCAGTAACCATAAGGTAATTCGTTGTTATGGTCTTGGACTTAGTGTTTTACAGCCAGCAATCAGTAGTAAATCTATGTGCAAACATGCTTGTTTGGACTTTTCTTGGTCATCTAAACGGAAATCAAAACTTCAAATATGCCTATTTTAGGAGGGTAAAGAGCTGATGTTTTCAAAGTGATGAGTTGCCGTTTTCCTTCAGTGTTGATGATGAGTATATATCTGAAGCCTGTTCCATTGGCAGTTGCCTTGGCAGCTAATCGCTCTGATTTGTCTCCATATCTGAACTGCAATAGCATATTGTACCACTAATCCCTTGCAGGTGATATTTTTTCATCCTGTAAGGAGGGAGAATATTTTTAATTAAAGCTACCTTGTTCTTTACTGGTTAAATACTATTTTGCCTTTTAATTTTTTTTTTTCTTTTTTCTGAAGTTTAGCCCTTTCAGTAGGGGTTAGAATACTTCCAGATTTCAAGTAAAAGTCTTCTTTCTGAATATGAAATTGAATTTTCTCCCTGCTGGTGATTATGACATTGGTACAGTTGCAGACCAATTTCATGAATTAAGGTTAGGTATTTGGAACAGCAACTTAATTACTTCAGGATTATGTAAATTAATAGCACCAGATTTGCAATTACATTATACGAGTGTGTAATTATAAGTACTGCTTAACATGAATTTGACCTGTGTCCAGTTAACCTGGTTTAGTTTCTGAAAGATCTAGGAGATAAAGATGATCCCAAGTGATGTAATACTTGCAGTTACTGTCACATTAAAGTACACAAAATTCTATTAGGATATGGTCCTATTTTATGAGGTAGTATAAAACAGTAACAACAAAAAAAACCAAACACAAAAATAAACACATAAAATTGCAAGTGCAATTTATTCTGGATTGGGTAATGGTAAATGAAAGCTTCATTTGTTTTTTGTCTGGTTATATTTTGAAGAGATCACTTTGCCCTATTCCGATTAGTGATTTCACCTGTAACAGTAAGCAATTATTAAACACTGAGTTTTATTTATCTCTGTTGCAGGATATTTTGTATTAAATGCAACTGGGAATGAATTGAAAGCCAAATGCTAATGCATTATGAACTACTTTTCACATGCAGAGCTACTGTAGCATTTATTCTATTTTATGCCAAATGCATTTGTAACACCAAAGTTGCAAAATATTACCAAAACAAAAATAATTTTATCTCTCTTCTAAGCCAGTAGTTGCCTATTTCTGAAATTATATAATTCTGAAACTTCATGATGGGGATCAGTTTTTCTGTTCTGATCTTATCTCACTGCCATTGTCTTCAGCCTAAAGCTTTGATCCATCACGCTGTGCTGCCATTGCCATGGAAATAAAAGCCTGCAGAAAATGCCACTCATTCTGTGCATATAAGGATTTATACTGTCACTAATAAGATGTAAAACACGATGCTTGTTTCTCTCTGCGTTTTGCAATAGGCTGATAATTAATAGCTAACATTCTCAGCTATTGTTTATTTTCAAGATACTTTGTTGCTGGGAACTGGGAAAGGCTATAGTTATTCATATGTGAAATCATATAATTGGGGTAAGTGTGCTGAGAAAGTTCAGTCAACTGGTTCAGCTTGCATACTGGGATTGTGCTGTACTTCAGGATTGGACTTTCTTGGAGTACATCAGAGATTAATTCTTCAAGTTACCACTAGACTCAAAAAAAAAAAAAAAAAGCCACTAACAACAACAGGACAAACACATAAACAAAAACAACAACAAAAAGACAAACCAAACACTAAAGGAAAGCTAACTTTAGAAACACTGGAAAAGAAGGAGTGAGCGTACAAGTAGGATCAGCGTACAAGTATGGTTGTGGTATAGTGCCACAACGGTTACAATTGGGCTACTTCTACTGTACAGCACACTTCAACTGCATAATTTTACACTATTAGGGGAAATAAATGCAATTTTTGTACAGTTATTTCGTTCTGGACTTTTTATGTACTGACATTTGTATTGGCTGACAGTGCTTTTTCCAGTTTTTAAATTGATAATCCTGGTGACAGGTAAGTGTATCAAGTTAAGCTTCTGTGCAACACTTTTCTCTTTGAAATATAGGTTTTAATAATATAGACTTAGATAGAGCCATAAAGCTGAACTCTTCCTTCAGGGAAATGACAAGGAATGAGGTCCTTAGGATGAGAGCTCACTGCCCAGCCTTTTCTGTATCCCATATTAAGTTGGAGGGGGGCGATAATTTAAGCCCTTGAATGGCCCCTTGAAAAGCAGAGTGGATTTTCCTTCCTGCACTGTGGTCAGAAGTGAGTACAGGACATGTAGTCCCAAATCACCCTGGCCTCACATCTTACCATCAGGCTTTAGGGAATGGGGAAAAATGGGAGAAGAATTAACCAGGTAAAGCTAAGCTGAAAACAGGTCTCTGATATATGAATCATGGCTGATAGATATCCTGTCCTCTGCTTCTGCTCCCCACATGACAATCAACAACTGAGGATGAGTGCAGAGCTTGTGGTTACCCATATGTTGGTGTGACCTTAGGACCATGGCTGAGAAAGTGTATAACACTGTGAATATGGTTTTAAATTTGAAATGCAATTCTCTGTACAGCCTAACTCTTGGGATAATTAATTACATCTAATTAAATGCTTTTTTAAGCACATCAATTTCATTGCCATTGACTATTGCGTTATAAATGTAAAATATATGCATACTTTACATTGATAGTTCTATAATTACTGAAATGCTTATAAAATTAAAAGTTCAGTCATACACAGCAAACACGAGCATGCAGATGTATTAATGTTAACGTCTTGCAGTTTTTCCATTGGAGGAACTTCGTTTTGTAAATTGTATAGATTTTAAGATTTAAGGGAATTTGATCAGAGGGTAAGATGTTAATTTCATTTTCTTTACACTGCAGGCTCTGTGAAGTACTAAATCTTGATCCAAGGCATGTCCTGATTGCAGAAGTAATCTTCACAAATATTGGGGGGGCTGCCACAGCTGTTGGGGATCCTCCAAATGTGATTATTGTTTCCAAGCAGGAGCTGAGGAGGCAGGTGGGTACTGCAAGCTGCTTTTCTGCTAAAATTAAGTTCTGATGCTGATTTATGCTGTGATGAACCTTTTATTCCCCAGACAGCCATATGAACAGAACACAAACAATTTGTCCTGCCACACTATTTCTTTCTTATTAGGACGATCAGACAGAGAAGAGTGATCTTCTGGGAGCAAAACTGTGATGAAGAATAGACTTTTTGATACAGACTGAGAATACTGGTTTCCTTTCTTTATTTTGGGGGATTTTCCTTGTCAGTGACAAAGTGAAGAAGGAATAAAAACAATGGAAGGCTGTAAATGCAGAAAGTTTCAAAAAATAAGAAATGGATACAAGAAAGAAGATGAAAATCTAAACCTTTTGTACAGAATGAGTTTTCTCTCAAAATTTAAATATATTGAGATCAGTCAGTTCCTTCTTAGGACTTTAAAACCAGGTATAACTGTCCGTGCACACCACCCCCACACCATGAGAGGTGACACTACTCCTGTAGACCTATCACATGCAGCCCAGCTGCAGGTGATGTCTTTATCCTCCAAGCATGGCCCTTTGGGATATGGAGAGCTGAGTGGGGCTTCTGCCATGCAGCACGGGCACAGTTGTCTCCCACCTTCTGCCTCCCAGTGCTATCCCCAGGTACAATGGGAGATTCTAACTTCCTTCTCTTGCCTCTTCCATGTATGGATAAAATCGTTTCTTCACTTTACTGGGTGACTGGTACCAAAGGAAAGTTTACGGTGCCAGGTGCTGAGTGGAACAGAAATACTCCAGACACCTGCCAATGGAAATGTGCTGGTCACACTATCTCCTCCCACCTATATGGCCCTCTCCATCCTGTAGGGACACCAAGCCACCAAGCAGGTGTCTTCTATTTTATACAGGTTTCATAAACGCCAAATAACTTTGTCACTAATGCCATACATAAATTCAAAGGAATTTGATGCTAGCATATGGGCTAGTATGAAAATATCTGTGCAAGAGGAATGTAGGATTTTTACTATAAAAGTGTTTTGTTTTGGTTTTTTTTTGAGTCAGTTTTTTTGAGTCACAACAGTTCTGTTGTGTTAAAAATATTATTTTCTAATTAACTGCGTACACTCAAATTATTTAAATACTGTCCAGGTTGGAAAATGTCTTTGAAAGTTAATAGTGTTGAATTAATTAAATGTTTACTCTCAAAATATTTAAAAGGTAACTGCAATTAGTTTTGTTGAACTATGACTTTGGAGACTGTAATATTCTTCACTAAAGATCTGATTGCTAATTTTTATATTTTTAAACGTAAAATCAGTGCAATTTTTTCAACTTGTCTTTTCTAAAAGAAAATAATTAGCACCTGCCACAGAGGTCATTTTCCAAAAAACTCAGGAACTCATCATTTCCATAGAAACTTTAGCAGGGGCCACAAACACAGGAAGCAATTAAGCCATCACATTGAAAGGAAACAATTTTTTATTTTACTTGAACGTGGTATTGATAATTTTAGGAGGACTCAGATGTACAAATACTATAGCAAACTTGACAAATACTGAGTTCCAAATTCTGTATTTGAAACAAGCAGAAAAACTTTGCAAGCATTTTAGCTCTGGAGTATTTTCAGATCTGAGTTGGACCACAGAAAAAAAGGCGTCAGAAAATAGACAGAACCATGAGACTTGTTCTTCTTTTCTATGTTCTCATATGTTACATCTCCATATCTAAATGAGAGAAGGTCAAAGACATATCCTTGGCTCTGAGGTGGTATTTCATCTGTCTTCACTATTTTTGTCCCCTTTGCTTATGGCTGAGGAGATCTGCCTGGTAGAGCGCTAAAGCAAGAGTGAGGGCAGGGAAGGATCATCTGGATTCCTGCAGTCTCTGCTATTGGACTGATTTCTCAGTTCCTGATTTTGTCCATCCTCATTAGCAAGCTTCCTTTTATTCAGTAGATAAAATGTAGATGTTGTCTTTTTTAGGAAATTAATTCTAGTAACAGGTGCTGTGAGGATGAGATATAGGATCAAACTCAAGCCTGCATTTAAAATTTATGGAATACCTGCTATATTTGTATTGAGTAAATTTTTTTTTTTTTTTTTTTTTTTTGGAGTGTTTCAGGGGTAAAAATTCTTGAATGCAATTGTTTATTTTAGTGATGTTTTGGAAATATTTCATGCAGTATTATTTGAAGGGTGTATTCCTGTTTCCTGCAGAAAATTGCAATTGGTTTTTCCTCTTTAGGACTTTATGAACAAAAGTTATATTTTTATCTTGAAGAGATATGTGCTTCATACTTTGGGAACTCCATTTTACGTACATAGCATAGCACAAATCGGCTCGAACCATTCACTGCTTTCAGAAAGGTCCTCTGTCTTTGGGTACTTCCCAAGTATCTGCAATCATACCTTTGAAATTGGAAATTACTTGGGCTCTAAGCTTAGGATGTGATTACAGAATCTTAAGAGAATGAATGGTGAAGAGGTATCCAGAGGAAAATGGTGTCTACTAGTGTATCAAGCTTTAATATATCTAAAAGTGATAATGATAAGAGCAAGGATAATTTTATCTTATGCTAACCACTGGATTATATTCTCTTACAGGACTCTGGCTATTTATAGTGTTGTTATGAAGTGTGATAAAGCCTGTGCTGTTTATCTGATGTTTTCAAAAGATTTTGGACATTCAGCATTGTACTCAAAGTTGCCATTTGTCATGAATTCCCCCAAAAACGGGCAGCCGTCAGGATCATCTGTCCTGCATTAAAGAGATTTTTAATCTTTGTGCTGAAATTTAGCATGCTGCAATATTAGTTGGTTGTATTTCAAGGCAAATTATGGTGCCAAAAATCTATGAATAGAAGTAGGTAATTCTGACCAATAGAAGAGAGAAAATCCTATGTATGAATCTGTTAATATATTTCAGGCTCCAGCAGATTGTGAAATGGATTCCCATAGCTTATTAGGCTATTCTTATTGAGTTTGCTTGGTAAAACTTTTAATCATTTTGTAAATTGCCTGTTCTTTCTGTCAGTGTTTCATTGATTTCTTTTCTCAAGAAAGATGAAACCCTAAGTAAGGTACATGAAATAAAATGTATGGTTTTATGGCAGATTTCAGATTTTTTTTCCTATCTCTGCATGTAGTGATTATTAAAGAGTACAGTGCAGGACAAAAAGCGGTGCTCATCAATATCTCAGATACCTTTATGTAACTGTGTTAGACCATCAGTGATTTCTGTCTCAGCAACATCATGAGCAGCTCCTCCTGAGACAACATAAATCTCAGTCACTCAGCTGGAAGGAATGTTTAATCCAGCGTAGAAATAATAAATCACTTTCACTCTTCCTCATTTTATTGGCTTTAAAAAATTTAATGAAGGGCACTCTGAGTAGAAGCCCAGCATTTGTCAACCTCTGAATTACTGCACCTAGCAATAATTTTTGTTTTCTCTTTGCTATGAAATGGCTTTATTGTTCTGGCAGTGTCTGAATTACTAGAAGTTGATTTCACATCTCCAAAATCAGTCAACCCCCAACCTCCCCCATGCCCTTGGACAAACAACCACAGTAGACCAGGATGAAAGAAAGCCAGTGTTTAAGGAAAACAGAATGACGCTTCCTCCTAGGGCGAAACTGATATATTTGACTTTGTATTTAAAACCAGAAAGCATAGAAAGATGCCCAGTATTTCAGCTTTGAGTCTGTAGGCAGTGGAACCTTTAGGTTGTTGTTTTGTTAAAACGAAATCTTTAGATTTTCATTGTTGTCTGGAGAACAGCAGAAATTTAACACAATCAGCATAGCCTCAAGTAAGGGACATTTGAGGCATGCATTGTATTTATCTGATGGATTGAAATCCCCTGGAAGAAAGTATTTCTTGCCTATTGTGCATGTCAATTCTATTTCAGTCTATTGTTCAGAAAATCTTTATGAAAATGACATTTTGTTGTATGCAGCAAATGTGGAGCACTTTAAAGTACTTTTATAAATGCTGAACCCTAGCCCCAGCAGTGCAGAGAACTCAGGCAGTACAAAAAACACATGGAGCATGAATATTTGCTCTGTGTAGATGTTGCATGTCCTCACTAGAGAGTGGGCAAGGGAGCAAAAGCCACTGATGAAGTGTGCCGCAGTCTTGGGATCCTTTCCTATGTCCCTTCTGTCTGAAGTACAACATAAATCCTTTGTAACACGGCAGCAAGGAGCCCAGGGATCTCTGTTGTTATGGTTTCTCTGTCAGAATAACACAGCAATGCATCACTACATTCCAAGACTGTGGCTTTGATAATCTCCTTCCTCTTCATCCCATTCCCTTTCCTATTCTCTATTTTCCATTTTGGAAGATAGAAATGATCTCTAAAAGTTCTCCAAGACTCTGCCAGTTAGCTGCTAATTATTTGGCAATGTGTGAAATCTACTTTCTCTGGTCATGAAAACATATTCTGTGTGCTGGAAACATAGTCTATGTACTCGTGCACTTTAAGATCTTTATCAATGACATTGATGATGGTATCGAGTGCACCCTCAGCAAGTTTGCTGATGACACCAAGCTGAGTGGTGCGGTTTACATGGTAGAAGGAAGGGATGCCATTCAGAGGGACCTTGACAGGCTGGAAAGGTGGGCCTGGGTGAACCTGATGAGGTTCAACATGGCAAAGTGCAGAGTTTTGCAGTTGGGCCAGAGGAATCCCAGGCATCCATGCAGACTGGAAGGAGCGGTCCCTGATAGCAGCCCTGTGGAGAAGGACCTGGGGGTCTTGATAGATGAAAAACTTAACATGAGCCAGCAGTGTGCCTTTGAGGCTTGGAAGGCAAATGGTATCCTGGGCTCCATCAAAAGAGGGGCGGCCAGCAGGGACAGGGAGGTGATTGACCCCCTCTACTCTGCTCTTGTGAGGCTCCATATGGAGTACTGCGTCCAGGTCTGGAGCTCCCAGTACAAGAAAGACAGGGAGCTGTTGGAGAGGGTCCAGAAGAGAGCCACAAAGATGATCAGGGGACTGAAGCACCTCCCCTATGAGGACAGGCTGAAGGAGCTTCTCAACCTGGAGAAAAGAAGGCTGTGGGGTGACCTCACTGCAGTCTTTCAATACCTAAAGGGAGCCTACAAACAGGAGGGGAATCGACTCTTTGAGAGGGTTGATAGCTGCAGGATGAGGGAAAATGGTTTTAAGTTGAGGGAGGGGAGATTTAGGTCGGACATCAGGGGGAAATTCTTTACCCAGAGAGTGGTGAAGTGCTGGAACAGGCTGCCCAGAGAGGTTGTGGATGCCCTGTCCCTGGAGGTGTTCAAGACCAGATTGGATGGGGCCCTGGGCAGCCTTGTCTAGTATTAAGTGTGGAGGTTGGTGGCCCTGCATGTGGCAGGAGGGTTGGGGATTCATGATCCTTGAGGTCCCTTCCAATCCACGCCATTCTGTGATTCTGTGCTAAGCACCCAGCCCCAAGCACCAGAATGTGCAGCAAACTGGTTTCCATCATGAGCCCTATTAACATGAGGAGCAAAAAGGATTATACTTGGTGGCAGTCTTCCTCATGTACAGGGTACAAGTTTTACAAGGTGCTAGTGACCATCAGGTTTCATTTTTGTACACAGACTCTTGAGGATCATTGGAAGTACGAAATGAGGAGGAAAGTTGGGAATGAGGTATGGGAAGAGAATTGGATCCAGCCTTGCGCTATCATGAGCAATATCTCTGTGCAAACTCTTTCCATAAATGTTTTCCATGTCACAAAATGATTTGTTTCAGCTGAATTGGAAGGCTATTTTGCAATCAAAGCAGAGCATAATTTTTTATTGTTTCTCAAAACCCTCAGATACAAGAAAAATCAATGTGGTGATATGAAGTTCAACAAAATTCTGAATCTCAGAGCAGATATTCTTTTTAAAGTTAAAAACTCCCAATGTCAAAAATTAGGCTGACATTTTCTTTCTCTCATGTTGGTGTCTGCAAATCACTCTTAAAGACTCATTTGTGTCATCAACTGCGTTAATTCTGACTTTTAAGAGTTTGTGACCTCTATCACATTCAGTCACTTTCAACTATCAGTCAAACCTTCCTATTAACCTCATTGTTTCTGTTTGTCTTTGAGATTGATGTGATTCTCCTTCCCATAGAGAAATTAGTTTTGTAGGTTTTAAGCAGCACGTTTCTTGTGCTGTATCTTTTGTTTGAGAAGCTTCTGCATTGCAAAACTTTAATAGCAAAGCACAATTGTTTTGCTTTAAAATTGTTTCTTGATATTCAGAACTTCCAAGCAAGTGACTTTGTAAATCTTAGTGACTGTGTTAATAGAATTGACATTGAACTTAAATTCTATTATCATATCATGGGAATGTCACCAGCTTGAACTCCAGAGTTTCCAAGTAATCTTCAGGTTCCCATTTCTTTTCTTCTTTCCAATAGTAGCAATTAGATTCATGCCTGAGTATCTCTGCAGAGAATACTCTGCCTGGAAATAGGTGTTCTCTCTCACAATGTGAACATGTTTCTGCCAGATTAAGGAAGATTTGTGGTTGGTTATTGACAGTAGGTCAGGTGCAAATGTAATTTTTCAGGTTTTGGTAACTGTAGGTTGGGAATATTCTGACCTTACTGCATTGCTCCTCAACCAGCTTTTTTCTGGTCATTTTGTTACTCAGAAGATAACATTTTTTTTCCAGTCAGATTTAGGTATAACTGTTTTGTACTTTCGGTGTTTTTAAGTCTTATGTCCCAGGTGTTTGTATTCGTGCTTGAAATTTATTTAATTGTGCTTGCCTGAAAACTATGATTTTTTTTTTTAAACAAAAAACACCATCTGGCTTCTTATGTGAAATCCTGGTTCTGATAGGGTTATTGTAAAATACATATTGTTATCTGTTTAGGACAAAAAGTTGGCCATTAAAATTTAACTATTCCTGTGATTCAATATGATTGAAAATGAATGTAGAGTGATTTAAGTGATCATAGTGATTTTTTTTCTCATCTGTTTTAGGTAGCCTAAATGTACATCAGAATAACTTGTAATGTTATTTTTGAGCTCTCTGAATTACATTGTAATGTAGTTAGTTTCCTTGAAACAGATGAAATGCCGTGTGTACTGTACAGGGAACTTTATTGCTTTGTATTTATTGATGATTTCTAAAGTGTATACAGTTGAATACTTTTCCCTGTAGGTGTTATAGGAAAGCAACTGATTTTTAATTTGGGTTTTCAATTGCATTTCCAGGGATTGGATTTTGCAGCCTTCACAGGACATATGTTTATTGGAATCTGCCTTGTTGTTCTGGTTTCCTTTCCTTTTCTTGGACTTCTTTACTGGAACAAAAAACTGTATAATAAGGAGCCGAGTGAAATCGTTGGTAAGAGTGAGCATTAAAATGTATTTATAAGCATTACTTTGAATAAGAATATGTTTGAAACACAAACTGACCACTGCCTTCTACGGTGTCTTCAGAGGGAAGTGCCCATTTTCCTTCAAACTCTCATTATCTACTTTTACTAATAATTGTAATTTTAATCATGATATTTTCTGGCTTCTAGAAATGGATTTCTTTTTCTTGTACTAAGCTTGAGGTGTTGACACAAACTATTAAACATATTCCAAAATTTAGGGGATATCTTCCAACATTTAAAAGCAAAAGCTTGAACACCAAGGTGTTCTTTCTCACTATAAGGACCATGTGCTCAAGGTGCTGATTTTACAGCTTAGGTTCAGAAATATGCTGGATTTTCCTTATAACAGGCATAGTGCACTGATGCCATCCCCTCACTATTGGTTTTCTCCCATTGGATTTTTTCATCAATCTTTTCCTGGTTTGCACTCAGTGAAGGTTGTTTCTTCAAGAGTAGAATAATTTTTTCAACTTTTCCCACCCTTAACTTCATCTGTTCTATCATCTCTGTAATTTAGAATGATTAAATGTGTCTCTTCTTTATATTTCTCACTTAAGTTGTTTGATCAATCTGATAGACACATATTTTCTTTCATCTATAAAATCATAAGCTTTTTAAAAAAATTATTATAAGAAATCAAATATATAAAATCACTGTTGGATTACCTTGAGTAGTACAAATTTTTCACTGGCATATTTTTGCAAGTGAAACATTGTACACTTTTTAGGGACTATCATATTTCCCTCAATTAATCTCCTGGTAATCATTGTTACTTGCATCTTAGTATGTTCAGATGTAGCAGTCTTATAATTGTGTACCATGTGTCCTTTCCCATAATCAGCAACTCCATTTTTACTGCAAAGCTAATCAGTAGCTGCTCAATTAGAGTAAATGCTAAAGCAGTTCTCTTTCTATTGAAATTTTATGTGAAATGGAAAGAAAAAGTGACAAACCCAGACTTCATTAGGAGGTAGCTGGAACAATTTGGATTTCCAGAAGGAGCATAATGTGTTCCAAGGTGCTTTCAGGGGTTCTTCCATCTCAGGTGGTAATGATTCTGTGATAACTCAAAATGGCTTGTTTGAAACAGCTGTTCTAATCAGCTGAATATCTGCCTTCCCTCGTCCTGTCCCTGAGTAAGTAAGATATGTGAGACTTACCTGGTATATTATTGTCCAAAAATTGTTTCAGCCTGCTATGTTCCTTGGGCTTTTTCTGATGTTTCTGGGCTACGTAGACTATTGAGGTCAGATAAGTACTAATTTTAAGAACAAATAATACTGTTATTCTGATGATAAAGTGATATACTGATTTCAATGCTGTAGGTTACCAGTGTCTTTAAATTAGTGGCTTTTAAACTGAACTTCAGCACTTGTAGTGAAGAAAAAGTATACATTTCTTCCCCAGCAATACCATTTACCTACAGAGGCTTGAAGCACAGTATATCAAAAAACAAAAAAGGGTCTGAGGAATTCAGACATGAAAGGCATAAGCAAATTCTGAGCTATTGTGAGGACTTTTTTGAGTGTGACTTCCAATTCATAGAACTGCATCTTGTTCTATGATATTGGAAGAGATGCTAGAATTAGGGTAGTAAGCTGAAATTTAAAAGGAGTATGTGTACTGTTTCCCAATAGAATACGAGAGACAAAATAAAAATACGAGTGACAGAGGAACCAATGTTGCTGTTCTGCCTCCTTTCCCCTGATCCCCAAAACATTTTCTTACTTTTAGTTGAAATTTTTACATTCCTTACATGTTAGCTATGTGCTACTTTGTCCCTTGGAAGCATGACAATACATTGCTCTGTTTCAGCTATCACGATGTGGAGCTGTAGACTACAGTGCCTAGGAAGGTCCTTTTCCCCAGGGCAGTGGGTGTTGTAATCTGGTATTATCATCACCATTTTTGCTAAAGAATATAAGCTTTCTCTTAGTGCAATGACTGATTTGGCACCAGTTCTCCATTTCTACTGTGTTGCTTGCTTGTGTTCCGGACCATTTTGCTTGCTGAAAGAGAGACACACTTATTGAAGCAGGAGGGTTGATGACAGAGTAGGGAGCACGTTATGCTTCAAACGTAGCATCAGCTACATCTGTCTGTATCTGCTGGGAAAATAGTGCTATGGTAGTAGGATTGTATGTAATGCCTACAACAGAAGAAATTTTCTAATTAATCACAGTCATGTAAAGTGCTTCATGTGTGGGGAAAAAAAAAACCAAGCAAACAAAAAAACGATACTGTTTTCCTCAATGTGAAATTTGCTAAACAGATGAGTGAGCAAATCTGTTTCTTCTTCCATGTGAGCTTTGCAGCTGCTTCTCTAGCAGCTAGGGGAAAAAAGGGGAAAGTAAGAGGGGAAAAAAATAGGTATAAAACTGTGATTATTGTTCTGTTGATGTGAACACCCCTGCCTTTTGGAGTTATGAAATGCCTTGGGGAGTGAATCCCAGGACATGTGGTGTGGGTTAAGGGTTAGAAGCTTTGTTACATTCTTGTGGCATAAGAGTCTTCCTTGCTGCTGGAGGAAGTTTCCCTTCTTCTTTGTGCTATGAGGCTTACCTGGGTTTCCATCCGGATATAGGTTGGTCTTAGGCCAGCTAAACACCTTCAAGCTATAATACCTTTGAAATGATTTTTCAAATAGATTCATAGTTTATTTCTGGCCTGGAGGCATAGTTTATCAGTCATGGTTTGTCAGTAGGCACCTAAGAGTGCTGAAAAAAATGAAATTTAAAAAATGATTTAGTTGCATCAATTGTGTCAAATTGATGTAGGTTTAAATTTTGTATTTTGCTTGGTTTTGGAGGGTTCATATGTTCTCTCTCTCAGACAAAGCTCCAGTTCACTCTAGGGGCCACTCCCAGAGATAGCTGTTAGATAGCTGTTATTTACCAAATATTTGGATTCCTGAATGCTGCATGTCTCTCCAGTGCTACCCTGGCTAGCTCTGCATCCTCTAACACTGTTGCATATCTTCATGCTGTGCCTACACCATGCTGTACAACCTTTGGGATTAACATTGGGGATGAACTACTATATGATAATCTGTTGGACAAACCCACTATTATTTCAGACAATTTCATTTGGGGAAAAAAAATAAAAATAAAAAAATAAGCCTGCATAGAATGATAACTATGTCCAGGGTCTCAAGGACAAGGCAAGAGCAGAGCGGTGACCCAGGGTATAAGGTGTCGTGGAGCATCATTTCAGCTTTGTGTGCCACTTTGCCTCAGAATTTAGTCCTGTTTTAGTTAATAATGTTACTAATTTATTTGGTAACAGTAGGAACTGTTGCATGCTAGAATCAGTGAGAGGTAGGTCATGTACATAGCTGGATGAAATACATCAGTATATCTCTGTCCTGTGTAATGCAGGTGCTTTACTAACAGCCAGTGAAGTATTACTGGCGTTTAACAGAGCTGTTGAAAGCAGTGGGTTTGCTTGATTTGGAATCAAAAGTAAATAAATACAGGTTATGGAGGTTCAGGTGACAGATCCAACAGGCAAATTATGCAGAGAATAATGTCCAATGAAAGGAGTATTTCAAGATGTTTTCAAGCTTTTAGCTCCAAGCTAAATCTAGTTGGCAGATGAGCAGTTCACATTGCTATTAGCTGTCCTCACCCAAAATGCTAAATTCATCACAACTTCTTGTCAACTTCTTTTACAATCAGTTGTGCTTAAACTCATATTGGGAAATGTTTCTCATGCCTGGAATTGAGTTTTTTGCTAAAAAAACCCACATCACATAAGAGAGAAATCAGCATGTCTTTGTGCATATCAGTATATACCTTTGAGTTTCAGAACGGAAAAGGACTGATTTGATGTGAAGGATACATGAATACTCTAAACCTTGCCCTATTTTTTGTAATAGGCAATACCCATATTTTGAGCTCGAATTGCTTTCTCGGAACCCAGTGACGGGAAGCATTTCTAAATCTTGAACAGCATAAAATGGGAAAACTTGTTTTATTTCTTCTCTGCAATCCAGTTTGTACATTGAGAATGAATAGTTAATAGTGTATGGCATGAATAAAAAATGTTGCTTTCTTAGATATTGTCTTGGAATCTAAGATTGTAACTTTCTTATACTTTCATTTTAAACAACAGTAGGACTTTCAACTTTGAGGAGTCTAGATAGTCTTATGCTCCCTGTGGACCTGCATGCTCCTTTTTGGTTAATGTAGCTGAATATGTGACAGTTATGGCTTTATGTCTGAAAATGTTGAAAAAATATTCGCCTTCTATTACTTTCACCTTCAATACATTCCTAATAATCAGGAATAAAATAATTATAGTTATTTACTTTACATGGAACCCAATTTTTTAAAACATTTACAAACATTTTATGTTTAAAATCTTTGTATATGTCCTTTCTGGTGCTTTAGAATTGATGGATTATCCCTCTCAGGAAGAGGAAACTGTTGATCTCTCTTTCCCTGTTTTCAAGTGATATATCAAATATTCTGACATTGCAGAGTATGGGAAATATGACAAATGCATATTATTTTCTGAACGCATTGATAATGCTGCCAGCATAAAAAGGCTGCTGTAATGACTATACCTGCCTTATTCAGAAAGAAAGTATAGTGCAGTGATATTTCAAAAGAATAGAGGAGCACTTTACAATTTTATTATGTACATTCTTCATGGATGGAGTCATCAAGTTACAAATGGGAGGAAAATTCTTAGGAACCTTCAGGGTTTTTTGCAGCACTTGTTTCCCTAGGTCTTTGTGTGCTTATACTGCAACTGTGAAACAATTGTGCAGATATACACAGGGCAATCTATAGCAGTGTTTTGGCAGAGCAGTGGCAGTTTTCACTTTGGTCCTCAGATCTTCCTGGAACACACATATTAAGGGACCAATTTAGGTTAATTTAACACATGCTCCATATCTGTTTGCTGCAAAGAGTTTCACTGATGATTTTTCATTAAAAAGTGCAATGACATTTTTAAATTA